TTATCTGCTTCGGCGGAAGATTTTCTTACTTAATCTCGTATAATTGGTCGGTTCTGTTACAAAGATGATTTTCCTTCACAACTGGGTCCTACTCATCCTATAGACGGGAGGTGGATTACAAATGATTCAATGAGGCTATAAGAGTCACCCTCGCGAGCTACCATTGATCCGGAATGCAAGGTGCATCCACGATTAACCTAAGTCTAAGCACCACGCTCACACTTACAATTAATACTTTACTCCCTCTAGAGTAGAAATAAAGCACTTAAAAGAGTCGTGAACTTGAAGAACAATATAAATAAGATGCTAACTTAAATCAGAAGTTGATTAACAGAGAAATCTCAAAAGCGCTCAGATAGAACTTGGATCCGCCAAGGTACAAGCCGTAGAGAGAGAACACCGATAGGCCGGCACTTCCTCCAAACTCTTCCTTCACTCTACATCTTACTATTATTTATAAGACTAGATCATATGGAGGACTAATCTTCTCTTGATAGCTGACTCTGATCCTGATGAGAGAATATGAATTAGGGTTTCAGGATGACTCCAGGGAGGGGGGTAGGGGCTGCTATATATAGGCGGGAGCATCAATTCTGAACCCTCGTATCAAACCGACTTGAATAAACGGCGTAGATGTAATCTAGGAGGCGGTAAAGAACCGACATTCGAATGAGAGGATGACATGTGAATCCCATGGGCCGGCCGGCCCCACATGTTAGCCCCTCGAGGTCTGCTTCGGTGGGTTGTCTTCTGGAGTGTTATAGAGTCTTCCCACATCGGTTTCGCTGCGGATAAACGTGATTTTCTTTGACGAATAGGTCATACTTGACGGTTTTCTGGATAAATCCTCCTACAAACACAGATTCACCAAAACTTGTAGAATTTATTAGTTTAAACCCTTAGACCTATGTTTGGTGATGGAATTAAGTATATATACATGTTATATTGATGGTTTATGATTGATGTTAACGACCATCGACACTGACTCAGATTGGGATGACCCATGTACAATGTATATGAGAATTTGTATTGCTTGTGCTATGTATGCTAAGATAAAGTAGTGGTGTGTGCTCCTTGCCTCTTCTTGTATAATCTGGGGACAGAGTTACATGTAAAATCTCTATCTAATCGGTTTACATATTGGTTTTTATAATTGGCTATAGGAGTTTCGAACTAGTTGGTTTTCAAATAATCTTCTAAGTCTTGTATGCCATGCCAAATCATGGGATACCCCTAGATTCGATCCAACTTAGGGTCCATTTGATTTACTAGGATTGAACCCAGAAATAATTCCAGCCAGCTTATCAAGATTATATAAACTGGAAGCAATACTCCGCGCGTTGCTGCGAGAATTACGGATCAGTGAATTGCATGGTATGATGTGGACAACAAAATGGTTATATGTCTTGCTGACGTGGACATTATAGTTGTACGTGCTAGTGGATTTTAATTGTTTGTGATAGTGCTTTACCTAGCTAGATAGTTTGTATGTTGAGATAAATAATCAGTGGGTTTTGTTTAGTGGATTTTAATTATATGTGATAATGCATCGTCTAGTCTGATAACTTGTATATTGAGATAAATAAGTAGTGGGATTTTGTTTTATAAAAGTATAGGATAAGATAAGACAAGATTAACGAATCGTTTCAACCGTACCGTAAATTATTCGAGGGCCATCAAACCCAACGAGTTATTTTTTTTCTAGGAAGAAAACCAAATATATTTAAATAAAACTATCTAAATAACCACGGGTTGCGATCGAAAATCAGAGAGAGACCGTATTACCGTAAGGGCAAGAAGTCGCGAAGAGGAGGTCAGCTCGATGGCGGCGGCGGCGGTGCTTCGCGGTGGTCGTTCAGGTTTTTCATCCCGGCTGCTTGGATCCTCTACGGGTATCATACTATGATTCGTACGCGCCGCGGATCGGATTTGTACGGTCGGTGCGGTTAGGTTAGGTTTTCATCATCTATAAACAATTTGCCGCGCAGGTCGGATTTGTATGGTGGGTGCTGTTACGGTTTGATTGATCTCTACAAGTAGCCAGTTTAGGCTAGTTTGCCTTGTTCGAATGGGAAAAACACATTATATTATAGGTGAACATTTGTGTCAAATTTAGCCCTGCTCACTCTGTTACTGCAAAACTCGATCCTATTTGATTGACTAGTGGATTAAATAGATGCTTTAATCTCAGCTATGAACTGCAAAATTGTACACTGCCCTATATATGAAGAATTAATCCACAGACTTGTGCACAGTACTCATGCCCCTAGCTAGCCCCAATGGTTTATCTGATGATAGATTCAGTTAGTTAAATTTGCAATGCCAATCAGGTGATTCTTGATTGCTCATGAGCTCCTTGCCTCCTTTAAATATCTGTGGAACCTGTGCACATGTGCAAGCTGGGGCAACGCTTTACTCAACCAGATAAATGGATTGTAATGTGTTTATACTCTGGAGAATCGAATATGGTTGGAATTAGGATGGCTCACCCTTATCACTGAAATAATCAGTGAACTACAACTCTACATAATAATGATCATGTGTTGCAGGGCCAGTGGCGTAACCCTGTACTTTGTGAAGGTGTGAATGTCAAGGCGCCTGAGAGGATGGAACAGTAAGTGCAATTACGAGCAGACTGCAATCACACAGTTCCGTCATGCCATAACATATACTGCTTATTCAAATTGAGTGCCCCCTACTTCCCATGCAGGCTTTGCAGCAAGAGGTCCCTGCATGTGGAGCCCAAGTGGGAGCCAAAGCGGGAACGTGTGGTTCATCACCCTATGGTTATTATCTGTCTTGTTGCTACAGGGTTCGGGGTGATTTACACCCTACCAACCAATTACCGTGCAGCTAAGGCCTGTTTCAAGGTCTACAAGTAGCTAAGTTGTTAGCGTGGTGCAGGAAACGTTCTCTTTATTGGGAGCTCACCAAATGTACTCGCTCCATCTCAAAAAAGGTATTAATACCTTGTTTTTGAATATTTAGACAAACTTGTGATCTTTTGACTCGTCAGAAAGTAATATTTTTCATCTTTTTAGGACAAGGAGAGTATACACATGTTTTTGAAAAAAAAAAACAGAGAGGAGACTATACTTTAATCTGCCGTTCCCAAAAGTAAAGCAATTCCAAAAACAAGTGCTCAGTTAAGTTTGACTAAATTTATGTAAAAAATATATTCATGCTTTTATCATAATATACCTATTTGGAATCTTAAATGTTGATACCGTTTTATAAACTCAGTCGAACTGAAGTCAGTTTGACTCTGATCAAACTTAAAATTGCATTCTTTCCAAGATGAATATAGTATTTTTGTGCTGTCAAAAAATTAAGCCGAGTAGTAAAACCAAAAACAACAAGAAAATGACCTAGTGTTTATGTGACTGTGAGTCCAGTCTTAGCCTGCTTGCCTGCCTGCCTTGGAGCAACTTGTTGCGATCTATCTCAAACAATGCAAGAGGCAGGCAGGACAGTAATTACCAGAAAAGCCATGCCATCCTAAGATCTTATCTTTTCTTATAGTGATCGTACATATATAGCGATGTGGAATTTGGATTCTATATTTTTTTTTAAAAACTACGAGCGTCTGGACATTAGATTATTGTCGTTGTATAGAGTGGTAATAATCTCCAAATAGACAGTTGGATTCTACAGTCTCATTATAGAATCTAGCTAGGTGTTTCGATCGTATTATTATATTTCTATCTTATTCTTATTTTTCTCAATTTGGAGTTCGAAACAGGTAGTACTTTGTTTTGATTAATTCCTTGTGGAAGTTCTAGTAAGGAAGCTGAGGACTGAGGTCATCCCTTACGTCCTATAGGTACCATAAGCGCTGTGCCATTTGGTGTTTGATGTTGACCTCCTAGGCACTCGCTCCATTATTCCTTGTGGTCTAAATTAAGTAATATATAGGAGTATACACACACAATGACATGCATGGTGATTACGATTTTTTTCAAATGAAACGTGGTTTTAATTAATTAATCTTCAACCTTTTGACAGTAGTAGGAATATTCGGTAAAAGTCTGAGTACCCCTTGACACTAAGAAATTTGTGATTGTTGACTTAATGCTAGTGCTTGTGCCCCTCGACACAACAAGATGTACGCGGTGACTTCGTCACATCTGCCAACTCAGTCTCTTAGATATGTTTATAGAGATAGAGTGTGCGTACACGTTCATAGGAGTGAGTATGTAGGGGACGTTTCATTAATTTCGACAGCGAGACGTCTGTGGTAACATCGTCAATCTCAAGGATTTGTCGGTCTAGTCTTCGAAGATGCAGACGATGTTCCATTCGATAGCGAGCCATCTATGGTTACTTCGTCAATCTCGAGAATTTGTCGGCACAATCTTTGAAGATGCAGGCGACCTTACCGTCAACAGAGAGGCGCCTATGATAACTTCGTCAATATCGGGGATTTGCCGGTTCAGTATTCGAAGATACACATAGGTTTGCGTCCATAAAGCTTGCATTTTGGATGTTTGCGTTGTATCACGTAATTAAAGAAAACGTGAACGTCGGATAATAAATAAATAAATTTAAGACGGAGACAAAAAAAAAGACGGGAACGGGACGGACAGGGACAACAGGGACGGGGGATGGTCCCACATGGCGGGAGTGCGAGTACCAGTGCCATGCCGTGGATGGATGATTGATGGAATGGGATGGGAAAATGGACGTCCTGAGCGTTAAGTTCGTCCCATCCATTCCATCCTCTCTATCCCCTTATCCTGAATTCCATATCAATGCAATCCTTTCCCTGCTTCTGCTTGCCAGTCGCTTAGCTAGCTCCAAGAATGAAGGAAGCAGCAGGAGATGGGTTAGCCGGCCGGATAGAGTTGGTACTACTGCTATCTAGGACTAGGAGGAGGAGTAGCAAGTGTGGCGCACGTGTGTCGCTCTATCTCTCTCTTTATATAAGCGCGCGTCCCTTTGCGTGCTTTCGTGCAGTGAGAGGAAGATCGAAGCATCAGTACGTAACAATTGAATCGAAGATGGATCAGGAGCACGAGCAGCAGGCGGTGGCGCCGGTGCCTGTGCCTGTGCCGGCGGCAGCAGCAGCGGCGGAGAAAGAGAAGAAGAAGAAGAAGTTCCGTCGGGTGTGCGTGTTCTGCGGGAGCAGCCCCGGGAAGCGGTCGTCGTACCAGGCGGCGGCGGTGCAGCTCGGGCAGCAGCTGGTGGAGCGCGGCATGGACCTGGTGTACGGCGGCGGCAGCGTGGGGCTGATGGGCCTCGTCTCCCGCGCCGTCCACGACGGCGGGGGCCACGTGCTCGGGGTGGTGCCCAAGGCGGTGCTGCCGCTGGAGCTCATCGGGGAGACGCCCGGGGAGCTCAAGCCCGTCGCCGGGATGCACCAGCGCAAGGCCGAGATGGCGCGCCACTCCGACGCGTTCATCGCGCTCCCAGGTTTAATTTCCCCGTCCGTCCGTCACTGTTGCTTAGTTGCTTCTTCTTGAGCTAGTCGTCGATCAGTCTGTAGCCACTAGCTAGCACTAGCAGCAACCAGACCAAACGTAGGAGGGAGTACTCCTGCTCCCTCCGGTTCCGCACGCGTCGCCGTCGCCTCTTACCAGCCCCCTACCTAGCTGCACGGCTACACCCACCCGAATACCAACCAAACCTTTTTTTTTTTTGGTATGAATCTGCTGGTCACATTCAAATTCAAAATTATTTATTTAAATTCTGAGAGACGTACGAGGATCCTATTGTTTTTTGAACGGAAGGAGGAGTAACAATAATCGCAGGTGGGTACGGGACGCTGGAGGAGCTCCTGGAGGTGATCGCGTGGGCGCAGCTCGGCATCCACAGCAAGCCGGTTGGCCTCCTCAACGTGGACGGCTACTACGACCCGCTGCTCGCCTTCGTCGACAAGGCCGTCCACGAAGGATTCGTCACCCCCGCCGAACGCAGCATCATCGTCGACGCGCACACGCCACACGACCTCCTCGACAAGCTCCAGGTCGACGACGACGACGACGACGACGACGACTCTTCATTGGCGCCGGACCACATCGCCTAGCTAGCTATTCATCCATCACCAACCCAGCAACTCCGCATCCTCCCGCTAGCTGCTATACCTACCTCTAGCTTAATTAGCTTATTGTCCGTCAATTATTTTCTTATTGGATTCCATACATACATGACATTTTTAGGGTAAACTTGTTATTAACTGAGAGCCCGTTCGGCTGGCTTTAAACCGGCTGGCTGGTTCTCGCCCTCACGAAATCACTGTTCATGTCCTGTCAGAACAGTATCTTTCTCTCACAACAATCAGCCGGAACAGTATTTTTCAGTCCTGCCGAACAGGGCCTGAGCTTCTAACCGTTTACTTGCTCCATCCGCGACTGAGGAAGACGCAGGGGTGTCAAAGACGCTGGCCTTGTTCAGTTCGCTGAAATTTAGCTTATACTAATAATTATATTGATTTGGTGTGAGAGAAAAATATTGCTCGTTCAGTAAAAAGTACTCTTTATTACCAATTGCGTGGGCTGAATCAAACGTATGCTGCGGTGCTTCAATCATCATGACTAAGACTTTACGAGGTCAGGTGTGCTGCAGCCCCTCCCATTGAATCGAGTTCACTGAAAGCAGCGCGGTGGACTAGGGAGCTGGTGGTAACCACACAAATCCATCCTTACAGTTGCGCTAACCTTGTCCCCACGACAGCAAGTGCAAGGACAGGGTCCCATCAACCACACCTGCTGATTCCTCGTATACATAATCAATTACATTTATATTATATTATCACAAACAAGATCACCACAGCCACCGCACCAGGGTGCTAACAAAATAAAACAGTAGCCATCTAACTCCCCCAAAAAACATACATTCCTTCAGTGATGCCTTTTTCAGATGTGCTTCAGACAATTGGCCATCCATTCAAATGCTTATGAGATATCTCCCCCAAAAAACATACACGACATAACCGAACCTTGAGACAGGAAATCTACACATTCAAATGCACCCACAAAAAAGGGAAGAGGTGTGGGGAATGGGTATGAGATATCTCACAGAATAGTACACTACAGATATAACAAGGTTCCTATCAGCTTGGATAGTGTCCGGATACAGAAATCGCCATCCATCTATAAACTTCAACTAAAGAAGCATACAATGTTGTACCACGATATATCATGGGCAAAGCGCACGCACCAATGTTAGCGAAATACACCGAGCACAAGAGCCGCTGCTAACACATCCAGTCAAGCACAGCTGCTGAGACCCAGCAGCAGTCCCAGACACCTCCTGCGGCAAAACTGACTAGTCCGTTCCCAAGTCTACTGCCACAAATCTTGGAATCAGCGTCATGTGGAGGTAACCAAAAATAAAATTACAGCAGGCACCTTCTTTCACCACCCTGGAAGAAAACTCAGGCACTTGGAAGTCGAGGGCTCCAGAGGTATTCCGAGGCCGGACCAACAAACAGGAAGCTACATTAGAGAAAGCTGAATCAACAAGGGAACACTACGAATCTACCATCTCGTCTTGCAATTCGCTAGGGGCAATGAGCCCCGGAATGGCAAGCATCCGTTGGCGCTCCCGTTCTCTTTGGGCGGCAGCCTCTTCCGCGTATAGATCCTTGTTATCCTGAAATCACAAGACAAGCAACCGCAAACGTGAATCACAAGACAATTTGCACAAAATCACTTGTGTAAACAAAAAGGGAGCAGGATCGAAATTCATCGCTAATCTGCTGGTGGAACTAAGGGCCTATCCGCTCCACAAGCACATAAAAAACATAGTATATGGTAAGCAAGAAATGCATCCTTATTCCTAGAGCCTAGTTGTGGTAGTCTGTCACATCCCTATTTATCTCTTTTGGTTTTGCCTCAAATGCATATAATCAGGATAAAGGTTATGGCAAGCGAAACTGAGGAGGTTACCTGAGCTGAGAACTCCTTCGACTGCACCAGGAAGTCTCTAATATGGTTTTTGAAACTTGGAAGATCATGTTTTGAACTAAGAAGGCCATCTACAAACTTGGTCACCTGTCCAAGGAATCTCGTTAGGTTTGTGGTGACTCATGGCACAACCCAAGCAGTGTGGCTGCAATCGTACCTCGGTTACCGTCATGTTAGGGAATGATGTTCCTAATAGTTTTATGGTGTAATCTCGAACAAACATGGCATTATCTGTATATTGATATGGTACTGAAGAAGCATCCCATAGAGGCTCCGTTAGACCATCAACCTACATATTAGCAAATCCAATAATTAGATGAACAAATAAAATGATTGGTTACAGGGAGGATGAATATAAGCATACCACACAAAATAAGTGTTGTAGCACCAAAACATGAAGCTTGAAACCAGGTTTGTGGAATGTGTCTGTGAGAACTGCAAAAATCTCTTGCTCAATTGTTAAAAAGTAGGTTTTGTAGAATTGATTTTGGAATCCTGAAGCCTGCAAACAGATCACATGGGATAGTTAGCTTCCATATAGCTATATGATGACAGCATTGGATGGAATATGTTTTCCTACCTGAAAATTTTTCAAAATTTCCAACAATAGACTAAGGCCAGTCTCTGCAATATTTCTCTCTGTATGTCTGAATGCCCAATTAATCGAATCGATCACAAGCTTCAATTGCTGAAACAGAAAGTCAAATGATAACCATAAATAACATAAGAGTTTAAGTTGACAATATCTCACATCATAAATTCACATCAAGACCTCAAAATAAAAGGGGTTACTACTAACCGGACTTGAAAGCTGGATTAATGCTTGGAAGCAATCGGTACCAATTGCACGAAGCAAAGAAAAAAATTTGAGGCGGTGCTCAGGATAATCTTCGAAGTTCTTAGTAATCATCTGGTAAGAGAGAGAATAAACAACTAAATGCTACGTAAAGATGTACTTGAAAACAAAATCAGTAACAAAATCAACTTAGTAATAGTATTCCTACCTCAAGAGTGCACTGGAAAACAGCCTCAAATATACGAGGCACATCCTCAAGCATTTCCCCTTTGTACCTGCAGGAAAAAATTTAACTCTTAGAATTAATGCAAAGGTACAATTAATGAGAAATAGCCAAGAATAGAAATACATGAATTAGATTGTGGCTCTTGACATCCAACATGACTTTTTTTAAGAGGAATCAATTTTAATAGTCAGGTACAACTTACAACAACAACAACAAAGCCTTTAAGTCCCAAACAAGTTGGGGTAGGCTAGAGTTGAAACCCAGCAGAAGCAATCAAGGTTCAGGCACGTGAAAAGCAGTTTTCCAAGCACTCCTATCTAAAGTTAAGTCTTTGGGTATATTCCATCCTTTCAAGTCTCCTTTTATTGCCTCTACCCAAGTCAACTTCGGTCTTCCTCTGCCTCTCTTCACGTTACTATCCTGGCTTAGGATTCCACTACGCACCGGTGCCTCTGGAGGTCTCCGTTGGACATGTCCAAACCATCTCAACCGGTGTTGGACAAGCTTAGTTTGAAAATAAAAAACTTGACATGTGACCATGACATTACGTTCAAAAAAAACATGAGACCATGACACAGAATGAACAAAGAGCAGGCATACTTGTTAATGATTGTTGCAAACAACGACAGAACTTCAGACTCCCTTGCATCAGGTACATTTCTAGCATAATCACCAAGGACGGGATCCATCATTGGTGGAACAAACTGCTTTCCTATATGTGGTAAATCTTCTGCCTTGTCCACAAAAGTCTCGATCAACTTTAGGGTTTCCCTCTTGACAGATCTGTCACAAATACAAATTAACTTAGTCAATGAGATATTCGAATCATGTTATCATTTCAGGGACATCTACGTAAAAAACAAAGTAGTGACAGCAAAGAGGTTATTTCTAAAAAATGGGTTACTTGTTCACATATCTCTAACTTCCTTATGTCATCCTATATAGCCATTAGGCAAGGTAACCAATGTAATCACAGCAAGACCTTTCTACAGGTACCCCCACACCCACAGCAGAGATCACCTGAAAGGAAATAATTTTTTTAAAGTACAAAAATCAATAGTCCATACCTCAAGAGTTTTACAAATGATGTCCTTGAGGCAAAGGGTCCTCCTTCAGCAATCGTGCTTGATACAAGCTCGCTGTACATTCTGATATGAAGAAAATGCATGGCAGAAAGGAGAGGGACCATTAGTGACCATTAGCTAGTGAACCGTTAGCCTTGAAGAAATAAGGAGACGAAGGCACCAGTGCTATCACAACAAAAAGGGGAGGCACAGTGAGTAAGATGTATGGGGAACTATTATCTTTCAGCAAACTAAGCCTAGCAGAATGTAATTGATAAAGCTAGCCATCCAGCACCATAACTATCGGGGTCTTGCCCAGAGCAGAGCAATCACATAACTACACGATGTGATTTTAGCCACATAAGTGTTCTAGGTAAAGGGTACATGCAATGATGCAAGTGCTCTTCAGACCTGGTTATCTAACCTTAGGATATGCAAGCTAAAACACTAATAACAAATGATGCAGCACACATACCTGTAGACTGTTAGCATGTCCAAGAAAATTAGCGAAATCTGTGGGAAGAAGTGTGGCCCAAGGGAGCTCGCAACACTTGTGTTTGTCTGCAAGCACATATAACAGTGTAATGTCAGTACCCCAGTACACATGCAAAGGGTAAAAGGAAACCAAAGAATCAAAGGCCAATGTTTCCAGTTAGCACAAATTAAATAGAAAATGCAACAAACAATGGAAAGTTGTTGACAGTCTCTAACTAGTGTTTGGTGAAAATGTCATTAAACCGCTATGGTAGACTTGAAAAACACTTTTGAATCATGTGTTCAGGTGTCGAGCTACCACTAGAAACAATCAACACTTGGTTGTCTAAATAAAGGATATGCCAAATCACTTGAGAAAAATCATGATATTAACAAAGTAAACCAGCAGAGCACATAATTGCTCATTGAATCATCGAACCTATTCAGAAATAGCCACAACTCAACTTTGCAACAAAGATCAGCTGCCACACCAATGCATCAAAAAAAATCATTCCAAACATGGTGGGGCAACCAAATTATTCAAAGATTTCAAAAACT